AAGCCAGGTGCCCAAAAAATTACTTGGACAATCTGTTTTTACATGATGTGGAAGCTAAAAAAAAACCATCAAAAAAAACCCCAACAAAACCCCCGCAAAGATTCAAACCTTCATTCCTTACTAACACCTTACTTGCAAAAACTCCTTTTCAAGTCAGTGGGAATTTTGCCAAAACTAGGACTGCATCAGTTGGCCCCAAGATTTACAAAGAGCAAGTGTGAATTTGTCAGTTAACACTTATTATTTAGGCAGTATAGAAGTACACAATTTGCATGAATATAAGGTCTTCAGGAATTGTTTTTATATGACCTAGTAGTACAGATCTAGTCATACACACAGTCCCTCTAAAGCAGGGGCGGACAATTATTTTGGATGGAGGGCTGCTTGCTGAGTTTCGGCAAGCCATTGAGGGCCATATAACAGGCAACCAGAGGCAGATAAATATTAATTTTCTAAAATGTTTAGGGGCCCTGCGGGCTGGATAGAATGGCCTGGCAGGCTGCATCCAGCCCATGGGCCACATTTTGCCCACCCCTGCTCTAAAGGAAGCAGTGCCAGGTGTCATTGACCATTTGTCAACTCAGATGGCTCCAACTTTAGTGGAATATAGTGAATTCAAAAAGATGCATTGCAGTGTAGTGAATTCAGACTGACTTGCATTACATGGGTTTGGAAATGCCTGACTTCTAAATTTCTCTTACTTTAAACTCAGCCAAATTCTGTTATTTCTTCCACAACAACTGTTGGTGTACCTATATTTGTTATGTGGTAGGAAAAGATATATATATATATCCATAATGATAGTGAATACTAATATAATAAAAGGCCTAATGTGTCTGTCTATCTGTAACACTTTGGGCCAAATGTGCATGTGCCACCAAGAGGGCGGCAGCAATTGGCTGCACAGCCCAGGCTGCTCAGGCCCAAGTTTGAGCCACTGCCGGGGAAATTTCTGGCATTGGCGAACATGCCCCAGCTGCCCAAGCAGCAGGGCTTCCCCACGCCTCCTTGCCCGAGGCTGAAGGGGAGGGTCATGGTGGCGGTGCCACCCCCAGGATGGTGGGCAGGGAAGGAGGGAGGCGGACGCGGGTCGGGGGGTTTGGAGCAGGGCCAGACCCAGAGTGGCAGAGAGAAGGGGTAGAGCAGGGCTGGACCCGGAGTAGCAGGGGTGTGTTGAGCAGAGCTGGACCTGAAGTGGCGGGAAGGGGGGGTAGAGCAGGGCTGGACCAGGAGCAGCAGGGGAGGAGAGTGGGGCTGGACCTGGAATGGTGGGAATGGGGGGTAGAGCAGGGCTGGACCTGGAGTAACAGGGAGTGGGGGTAGAGCAGGGCCAGACCCAGAGCAGCAGGGGACGTAGAGCATGGCCAGACCTGGAATGGCATGGAGTGGGGGTAGAGCAGGTCTGGACCCGGACCGGCAGGGGGGGTATAGTGGGGCCAGACCCCGGGGGG